CCCCAAAACCCCAAAACCCCAAAACCCCAAAACCCCAAAACCCCAAAACCCCAAAACCCCATGCCTCCCTAATCTGTGGAAAATATACTCTGAAATTAAACTTTTCATGTAAAAACTAAATCGGCCGCATGTTGGCTAACTATAATAATTTGATACCTTTTTTAGGGAACCTAGGGAAAAATTTTACATGAAAATCCAAAAGTATATATACTGAATAAATATAGCAAAAATTAAGAAATAAACTAACTTTTAAATGAATTGCTTCGGATTTAACCAAACAAACGATTTCAATGATAACTGCTTTTTCAACCCATTCAAGGTTGCAACTGCTAACTACATGTTTATGTTTAATGATGAGGAGAACCTCAAGCAAGAGGTCAACAGCTTCTCTGATTTTAAATCTACTGAGGAGATGAGCTCTAAGGGAGGAAGCAACCTCAGCGTCATTGCTGAAGACAATGCTCCTCTCTGTGAAGAGATCACTCACATTACCTCTTACGAAGATGACCTCAACAATTTGGCTTTGGACATCCAATCCCAAATCAATAAAGGAGGCATCGAGAATATTGTTGATGAGGCATTGGATAATGTCTTTGATGGAACTATTGAAAAATTCAGACCTATCCAACATAAAAAGAAAAAGACTGGTGCTCAAAACGAATACCTCGAGAAAGCTCTTGAGAACAATCAAGAGTGGGACAAGTCATTCATGCAAGAAATTGCTGGAAAGCTTGACCTTAAGTACAGACAAGTGTACAAATGGTACTGGGACAAGGTCAAGAAGAGACAAGCTAAGCAGGAGAAGAAAGCCTCTAAAGTCAAACACAACAAGTTTGAGGATATCGAGAGTGCTTTCTCTTCTGTTTTCAACTAAATATACCACATCTCTTCTACTGTCAACTAACCTAATAATTATTAATAATTTCTAATCATAAATTCTCTCTAAATCCACTCTATGGGGTTTTGGGGTTTTGGGGTTTTGGGGTTTTGGGGTTTTGGGGTTTTGGGGTTTTGGGG